TTTTTTGTTTTTGTTTCGGGAGCAACTTGAGAAACTGCAAGTCACTTCTGGTGTTCATTGCACCACCCACCATATGGAGCCCCCAGTGGTGCAATGGGTTAAATCCTTGTGCCGGCAGGACTGCTAACTGACAGGTCAGCTGTTCGAATCCGGAGAGAGCAGGTACAGCTCCCTCTGTCAGTTCCAGCTCCCCATGCAGGGACATCAGAGAAGCCTCTCACAAGAATGGTAAAGCATCAAACATTCGAGCGTCCCCTGGGCAATGTCCTTGCAGATGGCCAATTCTCTCACTCCAGAAGCAACTTCCAGTTTCTCAAGTCACTCCTGACATAAAAAAAAAAACCCAGCGTGATGGGAGTTATAGTTCTCCCACAATCAAGGAGAATTGTGAACCCCACCAACGATGGATCTGGACCAAACTTGGCATGCATACCCAACTTAGCAATTTTGAATACTGCTGGGGTTTAGAGGGAAACCCTTGAACTTTGGGAATTATTGTTCACCCACATCCAGAGAGCCCTGTGATTTCCGTCAACAACAGATGTCATCTAAACTTGGCAAGCATACCCAACACAGCCAACTTTTGATTACTGACCAAGTTTGGGAGGAAATGATCTTGAATTTTGGAAGTTACATATCACTCACATCCAGAGAGCATTGTAAACCCAACTGACAATGGATGCGGATCAAACTTGCCACACGTACCCATTATGGCCAACTTTAACTATTGCTGTGGTTGGGAAACAATGATGGAAGATGATGGGAGTTGTAGTTTACCCACATTATTATGCATTTTCTAATAGGTCCATTCTTAAAATCCAGTCCAATCAATGAATAATTCTTATGTTTATTCTTACAAAAGATCAAACCCAGGCATCACTGGGTATCCAAGTTAGTAATAAATAATAATGACAGAATTTCAATTATGGGGAAAATGCAAGATCAAAATGAAATAACAAAACAAGAAGAATATTAGTGAGTGACACAACAGGTAAGTTTTTCTGTGTTGCAGCAAGGAATGAAAACTAGTACTTTCTATAAATGTTAATGACTACTGAGAACAGGTTACAGGTGAAGCTACTTTAACCAAGAATCCGAAATGCTCGAAAATCTGAAATTGTCCTCATGGGCGGCTGAGACAGAAGCAACTTTTACTTTCAGATGATTCAATGTACACAAAGCATGAAATTAATTTTTAAAAATTACAGCAAGCCAAAAAAATTATTAGGCATAAAATTAGGTTCAGTTTCCATTTGTAAAGTGCATATAAAATACAAAATAATTTCATGTTTAGACATGAGCCCCAACTCCCAAACTTCTCATTGAGAAAGTAAGAAACAAGAATTGGAATACAACGCATACCTCAATACATACACTACTTTTCTTCACAACTGAGATAACTGTGGGAAATAAATAAACATGAGACTAATGGTGAGTTAAAACCTGAATTGTTTTTATTGGGACTGGTGGAGGACCAATCAGGGAAGAAATGTAAGACCACTGCAGTTAGAACAGACATGGGCAAACTTTCTAACTTGGGGGCCACATGGTGGGCTGGAGCAGGGTGGGCAGGCCAGGAGCGAAGCGGTTCTCCCCAAGTCCCTTCTCTGTCCTTTCCTCCTCTTCCTCTTCTCTTTTGGAGACAGAAAGTGAAAGAAAGAAACTCCTAATAAATAATCCTAGAATTCTAGAGCTGGAAGAGACCCCCAAGGGCCATCCAGTCCAACCCCCTGCCATGCAGGAAGGCACAATCAAAGCACTCCCAATAGACAGTCCCTGCAGAAACACCCCCAAAGAAGGAGACTCCACCAAACTCCCAGGCAGCCTAGGCCACTCTCCAACATCTCTTACTCTCAGGAAGTTCTTCCTAATCTTTTCAGTCAAATCTCTTTCCCTGCCATTAAACCATTGCTCCCTCAGTTTTTCCCCTCCTCTTTCTCAATGGGACACCCTTTTAAATCCTGAAAACATGGTTCTCATGTTCCCTCTCTACCTTCTTCCGGCTAAATACCCTCCAGGAGCAAAGGAAGAAGAAAAAAGAGAAGGGAGGAAGAGAAGGATGGGAGGAAGGAAAGGTGGAAGAGAAGGGAGGGAGGGAGGGAGGGAGGAAAGACAAAAGGGACGGAAGGAAGGAAGGAAAGAAGGAAGGAAGGAGAAAGAGAGGGAAGAGGGAAGGAAGGAAGAATGAAAGCGTGGAAGGGAAGGGAAGATGGAGGGAGAAAGTATTTATATACAATATATATATATATATAGAGAGAGAGAGAGAGAGAGAGAGAGAGTAGCTTTTATATAATATATATAAATCACTACGTAACTGGAATTGCTTTATAAGATATTATGTGTGTGTGTGTGTAAAAAACACTATGTAACATAGGAATTGTTTTAGAAGATATATAACACACACTCATATATATATATCACTACATAACAGAAATTGCTTTATAAAGTATGTAAAACACTATGTAACATAGGAAATGTTTTATAAGATATATAACATATATATATAATATAAAAAGCACCACTAAAATAGGAATTGTTTTATAAGATATAAAACATATATCACTATGTAACACAGGAATTGTTTTATAACATATATATGTTATAGTGTTTTATATTATATATATATATATATAATATATATATATATATACACACACACATTATAGTGTTTCATATTATATAAATATATATTATAGCATTATATATGTGTGTTTGTTGTTGTTATTATTATTATTATTATTATTATTATTATAGTGATAGAATTGGATTTCATCCCAAACTGAAGCACTTTGACCCATCTGCTAAGCCGTTCCCAACTGCTCTTTGTGCAGGATTCTCACACAAATCACAACCTTAAAGACAAGGAGTCCAATCCTCCTTAACCTGAATTATCTTCTTCTCTATCCAGGATTCTCATGATTTTTCTTTGGACTTTTAACTCATAAAGAAGACAAGATCTCATTTTGCATGGGTTGTCATTCAACATTAAGACCCAGACATGTGATTTGAACAAAGTTTGGACAGGAAGTCTGAAATATTCTCGACCTTTATCCTCCAGATGTTTTTGGAGTTCAATTGCAAGAAATGTTAACACCTCACTACCTCTGAGGATGCTTGCCATAGATGCAGGTGAAACATCACGAGAAAATGTCTCTAGAACATGGCCATATAGCCCGAAAAAACCCACAAGAACCTAATGTTAACTATTGGTGATGTTGGTAGGTGCTTCTGGGAGCTGAAGTCCAAAATATATTGAGATATATATTGAGAGGGAGAAATATATTGAGAGGGAGGGCCACGGGACAGTTCCATCATGTCTGCTGTGTTATGCTAGTAATATAATATACTATATTCTATATACCTATAATATTTATATTATAATGCAATACAATCTAATACTACTACAACTAATAATATATTATAATTATATATTTTATATTACATGTAATACTACTAATAATATTACAATATAATGGTATAGTACAATATAGTAATATATAATACTGATGACCGGGACATCCGTAGGGATACCAAGGTGCTTGTTTATAAAGCTATTGTCCTCCCAACCCTGCTATATGCCTGTGAGACGTGGACTGTCTACAGACGTCACATGCAACTCCTGGAACGATTCCATCAGCGCTGCCTCCGGAAAATCCTGCAAATCTCTTGGGAAGACAGACGGACAAACGTCAGTGTGCTGGAAGAAGCAAAGACCACCAGCATTGAAGCGATGGTCCTCCGCCACCAACTCCGCGGGACCGGCCACGTTGTCCGGATGCCCAACCACCGTCTCCCAAAGCAGTTGCTCTACTCCGAACTCAAGAACGGAAAACGGAATGTTGGTGGACAGGAAAAGAGATTTAAAGATGGGCTCAAAGCCAACCTTAAAAACTCTGGCATGGACACTGAGAACTGGGAAGCCCTGGCCCTTGAGCGCTCCAGCTGGAGGTCAGCTGTGACCAGCAGTGCTGCAGAATTTGAAGAGGCACGAATGGAGGGCGAAAGGGAGAAGCGTGCCAAGAGGAAGGCGCGTCAAGCCAACCCCGACTGAGACCGCCTTCCACCTGGAAACCAATGCCCTCACTGCGGAAGAAGATGCAGAGCAAGAATAGGGCTCCACAGCCACATACGGACCCACAAGAATATTGGAAGACAATCATCCTCGGAAAGCGAGGGATCGCCTAAGTAAGTAAATAAGCAATAGACAAGCAACTCCAGCACAGGATTGAGATGGACAGTACTGGTTTTGAAGTTGAAACACTACCAGTATATTATACAATTAATATTACATAATATATTGTACTATTTATTTATTTACTTATTTACGACATTTCTATGCCGCCCTTCTCACCCCGAAGGGGACTCAGAGCGGCTTACAAGGTATATATACATACAATATATTATTAGCATAGTATAATATCAGTATTAAATATTACTATATCGTACTATACCATTATATTGTAATATTATTAGTAATATTACATGTAATATAAATATATAATTATAATATCATATTATCATTAGTATTATATTGCATTACATTATAATATTATAAATATTATATGTATATACAATATATTATATTATATTATATTATATTATTAGAATAGCACAGGAGACAAGGTGGAACTGTCCCGTGGCCCCCGCTCTCTTCACTCCGGCTTTGAATAATGTCGTCCGCCAGAAAGAATCTACACCGAAAACTTAACGCAGTTTGAACTACAACTTGAATGGGAAAGGTTCGAGGCTTTCATTCCACTTTGTAGAAGTCCATCAACCCAACCCTAGCCCTAAGGGGGCGGGGCCAATTGAGCCAAGCCCCGCCCCCTCATGCGCCCCGCCCACCCGCTCCCCCCCCCTTTTCGGCCTAGTCTTTCTGAGGGAGAAAACCGGGCCTTTGCGGCGGTTCCGGCGCCGTGAGGAGAAACCCCGCCAGAGGAGGAGGCCCCGACCCGGCAGCTCCATCCTCAGCCGCCCGCCGCAGGGAGAAGCGAGGTTACCGTTTGCCTGGCCGAATTCTCGTGGTGTTTGGGAAATCGGGTGGCTCTGTGCGATAATGGCGTCCTTCCTCGCGAGAGATCCTCCAAGGAGAAAGCGACTGCGCAGGCGCACAGGCAAAGGGCGCGCGCGCTCGCTCTGCCTCCCTCCGCTGGGCTTCTCCTGGCGCAGGCGCAGTGGAAGCCTCCCCCCACTCGCAGTCCCAGTGGTATGCCGGCCGCCGGACTACGGCTCCCAGAGAGCTTTGCGCGAAGGGTTGCTGAAGCTCTACTTCTACGCGCCTTCTGGGGGTTGTAGGGCGAGAGAGGGAGGGCGCAGTGCGCGCTGGGAATTGAAGTCCTTAAACCCAAAGAGTGGCTCAGGCTTGCATCTTGACATTGCAACTGCAAGTGTTCCTCCAGATACAGCAAATACAGTACACACACACACACATATATATATATAATATTATACATACATATTATAATATATAGAGAGAGTGTGTGTATATATTTATTTATTTATTTATTTCCTTTACTTGTATACCGCAGTTTCTCAGCCCAACAGGCGACTCAACGCGGTTTACAACAAGGATAAGAATCAATCAACGATATACAATTTAAAACCATAAAAGCATAATATACAATATTGACACAACAATAGACAACACAATGCATCTCATAACTAGAGTCGTGATCCAATCCGTCGTCCAAATTTCCATTCCTGTAATCATCACATTCATTGCACTGTTTAACCAAATGCCCGTTCAAACATCCAAGTTTTTAATCTTCTTCGGAACACCATTAGCGAGGGGGCTGATCTTACCTCCATAGGAAGGACGTTCCACAGCCGGGGGCCACCACAGAAAAGGCCCTGTCTCTCGTCCCCGCCAGCCGCACCTGTGAAGCAGGCGGGATAGAGAGCAGGGCCTCCCCAGAAGATCTTAGGGTCCTGGTGGGCTGATAGGCCGAGATACGTTCGGATAGGTAGGTTGGGCCAGAACCGTTTAGGGCTTTAAAGGCCAACGCCAGCACTTTGAATTGAGCCCGGTAGCAAATCGGCAGCCAGTGGAGCTGGTGCAGCAGAGGAGTTGTATGCTCCCTGCGCTCCGCTCCTGTTAGTATCATGGCTGCCGAACGTTGGACTAGCTGGAGCTTCCGAGCCATCTTCAAAGGCAACCCCACGTAGAGAGGGGTTTGAACTACATACAAACTACGGTGAGATGGATCTGTAATTGGTTAAATGGACGAACCCAGAGGGTGATTCTCACCAATGCTTCCTCTTCATCTTGGAAAGAAGTGACAAGTGGAGTGCCGCAGGGTTCCGTCCTGGGCCCGGTCCTGTTCAACATCTTTATTAATGACTTAGATGAAGGGCTAGAAGGCATGATCATCAAGTTTACAGACGACACCAAATTGGGAGGGATAGCCAATACTCCAGAGGACAGGAGCAGGATTCAAAACGATCTTGACAGATTAGAGAGATGGGCCAAAACTAACAAAATGAAGTTCAACAGTGACAAATGCAAGATACTCCACTTTGGCAGGAAAAACGAAATGCAAAGATACAGAATGGGGGATGCCTGGCTCGAGAGCAGTACGTGTGAAAAAGATCTTGGAGTCCTCGTGGACAACAAGTTAAACATGAGCCAACAATGTGATGTGGCAGCAAAAAAAGCCAATGGGATTTTGGCCTGCATCATAGGAGCATAGTGTCTAGATCTAGGGAAGTCATGCTACCCCTCTATTCTGCTTTGGTTAGACCACACCTGGAATATTGTGTCCAATTCTGGGCACCACAATTCAAGAGAGATATTGACAAGCTGGAATGTGTCCAGAGGAGGTCGACTAAAATTATCAAGGGTCTGGAGAACAAGCCCTATGAGGAGCGGCTTAGGGAACTGGGCATGTTTAGCCTGAAGAAGAGAAGGCTGAGAGGGGATATGATAGCCATGTATAAATATGTGAGAGGAAGCCACAGGGAGGAGGGAGCAAGCTTGTTTTCTGCTTCCCTGGAGACTAGCGGAACAATGGCTTCAAACTACAAGAGAGGAGATTCCATCTGAACATGAGGAAGAACTTCCTGACTGTAAGAGCCGTTCAGCAGTGGAACTCTCTGCCCCGGAGTGTGGTGGAGGCTCCTTCTTTGGAAGCTTTTAAGCAGAGGGTGGATGGCCATCTGTCAGGGGTGATTTGAATGCAATATTCCTGCTTCTTGGCAGGGGGTTGGACTGGATGGCCCATGAGGTCTCTTCCAACTCTTTGATTCTATGATTCTATTATTATAATATATATATAGTGTGTGTGTGTGTATTATACATACATATTATAATATATATACATAATGTATGTTATAATACAGGGGTCCTCAAACTAAGGCCCGAGGGCCAGATATGGCCCTCCAAGGTCATTTAACCGGCCCTCGCTCAGGGTCAACCTAAGTCTGAAGTGACTTGAAAGCACACAACAACAACAACAACAATCCTATCTCATCAGCCAAAAGCAGGCCAACACTTCCCATTGAAAAACTAATAAGTTTATTTTTGTTAAAATTGTTCTTCGTTTTAATGATTGTATTGTTTTGTTTTAAGGGGGGTTTTTTGCACTACATATAAGTTATGTGCAGTGTGCATGAATGAATTCCTATGCATTATGTGCAGTGTGCATGAATGAATTCCTATGCACACTGCACATATCTTATTTGTAGTGCAAAAAAACATTTAAAAACAATACAATAATTAAAATTAAGTCAAACTGCAGGACGGAACCGGAGCCCCATCCACACTGTCATATAATGCAGTTTGAAATGGCAGTATATGACCAATATAGGTGCATATAATGCAATTCAAACTATATTGTATGGATTTATGTTGACCATATCATGGCATTTCAAACTGCACTGTATGGCTTTACGTTGACCATATAATGCAATTTCAGAGTGCATTGTGTGGGCTTACATTGACCTTATACTTGTATGAGTTTACAGTGACTCTATAATATGCATTGAATACGTTTGAATAGTTTTTAACTATTTTTTTATTTATTTGTCGTGTCAGAGCAACCAGTCAATTATATTACATTTCTAACAGAACAAAGCAAACAAACAGACAAAATACAACATTTGTGAGTTTTTAACTGAATTTTAAATACTGTTTATATTTAATTCTGTTTTAATGTTTGTATATTTTAATTCTACGCTAATCCTTTTATGTTAAGCCGCTTTGAGTCCCCTTTGGGGGTGTATAAATAAATACAATAATAATAATAATAATAATAATAATAATAATAATAATATGTGTTTACGTTGAAAATACAATGCCATTTCTAACTGTATCATATGGGTCTACATTGAACATATAATGCACTACAAACTGCACTGTATATCTCTTGGAAAGACACGCGGACAAATGTCAGCGTGCTGGAAGAAGCAAAGGCCACCAGCATTGAAGCGATGGTCCTCCGCCATTAACTCCGCTGGACCGGCCACGTTGTCCGGATGCCTGACCACCGTCTCCCAAAGCAGTTGCTGTACTCTGAACTCAAGAACGGAAAACGGAATGTTGGTGGACAGGAAAAGGGATTTAAAGACGGGCTCAAAGCCAACCTTAAAAACTGGCATAGACACTGAGAACGGGGAAGCCCTGGCCCTTGAGCGCTCCAGCTGAAGGTCAGCTGTGACCAGCAGTGCTGTAGAATTTGACGAGGAACAAATGGAGGATGAAAGAGAGAAACGTGCCAAGAGGAAGGCGCGTCAAGCCAACCCCGACCAGGACTACCTTCCACCTGGAAACCAATGCCCTCACTGTGGGAGAACATGCAGATCAAGAATAGGGCTCCACAGTCATCTACGACCCACCGTCAGTGTACCGATCTTGGAACACAATCCTACTCGGACAACAAGGGATCGCCCAAGTATACTTTATCACACTAGAGAATGAATCCACTTTAAATCCGGTTTCTGCCTCCTGCAGAATTCTGGGATTTTTAGTTTAGGGAGGGGCCTTTAACAGCCTCACTCAGGGGCAACTCAGCCCATTACGCAAAGTAAGCATTAGCAGTATAGTTGATTTTGCCCAGAGGCGCTCTTGGGGGAAAACAGATCTTGACATATGCGAGTTGTAGTTACTGGGATGTATAGTTCACCTAAAATCAAAGAGCATTCTGAACTCCACCAATGATGGAATTGAACCAAATATGGCACACAGAACTCCCACGACGAACAGAAAATATATATCAGTGATTGGTTGGGGGGGGGGGGGGATACTGTTTGCTTACCATTGAAAATTACCTAGGGCCACCTCTGGCCTCACTAAACCACAAAACCCAGAATTCTGCAGGAGGCAGAAACCAGATTTAAAGTGGATTCATTCTCTAGTGTGATGAGGCCATTCATATAATGCCATTTCAAACTGCATTGTATGGGTCTATGTCCATGATGGTGAACCTATGACATGCGTGTCAGCACTGACACACATGGCTATTTTTTATGACACGCGGCCACATGCGGCCGCATACAGAGAAGTACACCTTATAAGAGCCAATCTAATTCCATCCTTAAATTTGTAAAAGGCTCTACAAAGGTAACACCTGCATGTTTGAGCATTGTTCACTCCATAACTCAGCATGGAATATACATTTTTCTTATTTAAACTATAAATATTTCAAAATTACGTTTATTTTTTCTCTAAGTTGACACCCCACCCAAGTTATGGTAAGGTTTTTGGCAAATTTTGACACACCAAGCTCAAAAGGTTGCCCATTACTGGTCTATGTTGATCACATAATACCATTTCACTGCATTGTTTGAATTTACATTAGCCATATGGTTCAGTGGAATTGTTTACAAAGATCCTTTGCAAACTGCATTGTATAGGTTTATCTTGAGCATATAACGCCGTTTCAAACTGTATCATATGGCAGTGTAGATCCAGCCTAGGATAAGTAAAAAGTGGTTGAAAAAGCATAACAACAGAGGAAGAACGAGCCAAATTGGGACAAATGGAAGAGCATGCAATGTGGAAATAACCTTTGCTTCCACTTCCAATATTGCAACAGGTCTCCTTACTGGAAAAACATTCCCATCCCACCCCTTTTTCTTTACAACTAGATACCTTCTTTCATTTGCCTATTTACCCTCCATAAACAGCTTTGCATCAAACAACACTTTTCCGCCTTCCTTTCCTTTGCAAGCAGCAGAAGAAATGTCCAAGAAGACTTCTTTGCATTGCACAGGATTGCAGAAACACACTGAGAATGACCAACCATTTCTCAAGGCAAATAATGCATCGGAAAGAAAGAGGGGGAAAAAGAGAAAGAGTTGCTATGGGGCTCAGCCGGTTTCTCCAGCCCCTCCACCAAAAACCCAGAACCAATCAAAAACCCTGCAGAGGAAAAAGTTGAATTTTAACTATTTGTTTGGCTTTTTTTTTAACCCCCGAATGGGTGTGATCACAAGTGTTCATAAATAGGACCAATGCTCCCAGGACGGTCTGAGAAATCTGGACTTTCTGCAGCATGTTATTGGATCATTTGCTGCCAGGGATTCAACTAGAAGCCTTGGTTCCGTTCCAAAATGGTGCTTCTGGTCCATGCCAGGAAAACGAACCCAATGCGTTGGTTGCAGCGGGTGAAAAGTTTGTGGCGGCCGATGCCAGCAAGACTATGTGGCTTGGTCAGCGCTGGCCATAAAAACAGATACGCTTCATGTAAGTAGCATCCATGTCTCATATTTGAATGGGAGGCATGCATATAGGAAAGCCATCACTGGCGTGGTCTCAAGAGACTGTATATTTTAAGTGCAATTATAATAAGACTCTTAACGTACTTCCTTTTAATACAATGTTTCTCGAGCTTCCTACGGCTGCAACCCCTAACATGTTGTGGTGACCTCATGTTGTGGTGACCCCTAATCATAAAATTATTTACGTTGCTACTTCATAACTGTCATTTTGCCACTGTCATGAATCGTAATGTAAATATCTGATATGCAGGATGCATTTTCATTCATTAAACCAAATTTGGCACAAATACCCAATATGCCCAAATTTGAATACTGGTGGAGTTGGGCGGGAGATTGATTCTGTCATTTGGGAGTTGTAGTTGCTGGGATTTATAGTTCACCTACAATCAAAGAGCATTCTGAACTCCACTAACAATGGAATTGAACCAAACTCAATCAGGTAGCTTTCCAAGTCAAGACATTATTTTAGCTAGAATTGTTTGGTTTGGTTTGGTTTTCCTTGTAATTTTAATCCATTGGTTCCTGCATCTCTTTCCCCATCATCCATCCCCTTCAAAATAAACTCTGTTTTTGCTTATGGATCATTGGAAGAAGATATGGCAATAATGGCAGCAAATATATAAAGTTTGCGATCCCTGGCCAATTGGCGCCTTGCCATCTCTTTGCTTGGCAGCCTTCTGTCGGAGAAGATGGCACACTTTTGAACCAGGAAATTGTCCGCTTTTGGAGAGCCAAACTTTTAATCCCTTAAGAATATATAAATAGGGTTAGCATTTCGATTTTTTTTCTGTAACAACTCCCATTCCCACCCTTGCAAAGAATGTGAATGGGGCATGTAAGACTTCCTAATGCTGAGAGACCAAAAGAGACGGCTGCTCGGGGACTGTTCATTATCTGAAATATAGCCTTTCATTTATATATCAAGACTAAACATGAGCATGAGTATCTAAGACAGAACTTTCCAACTTTTTCATGTTGGTGACACATTTTTTGGGGCCTGCATCCTTCCGCAACACAGTCATTCGGTTTCCCTAGCAAGCCAGATGCTAAACCAACCTCTTATAAGAGTTTCATACATAATATATATACATTTCATATAATTTTTACTGTATAAACAAGCTTTGGAATTTTTTCATTTACACTTCCTTTACTGCCGTTCATTCTTGTGTACCTTCCTCTATGAGGTTCATAACAAACATTGTCAACACAGAGTTGCTGTGAATTTTCCAGGCTGTCTGGCCATGTTCCAGAAGCATTCTCTCCTGATGTTTTGCCTGCATCTATGGCAGGCATCCTCAGGTTGTGAGTTCTGTTGGAAACTAGGCATGTGGGCTTTACATATAGGTGGAATGCTCGGGGTGGGAGAAAGAACTCCTCTCTGCTTGAGGCAAGTACTTACTTACTTAGACAATCCCTTGTTTTCCAAGGAGGATTGTCTTCCAGTGTTCTTGTGGGTCCGTATGTGGCTGTGGAGCCCTATTCTTGCTCTGCATCTTCTTCCGCCGTGAGGGCATTGGTTTCCAGGTGGAAGGGGGTCTCGGTCAGGGTTGGCTTGATGCACCTTCCTCTTGGTACGCTTTTCCCTTTCACCCTCCATTCGTGCCTCTTCAAATTCTGCAGCACTGCTGGTCACAGCTGACCTCCAGCTGGAGTGGTCAAAGGCCAGGGCTTCCCAGTTCTCAGTGTCTATGCCAGAGTTTTTAAGGTTGGCTTTGAGCCCATCTTTAAATCTCTTTTCCTGTCCACCAACATTCCGTTTTCCGTTCTTGAGGCAAGTGTGAGTGCTGCAACTGATCACCTTGATTAGCACTGAATACTCTTGCAGCTTGGCTGCTTCCTGCCTGGGGGAATCCTTTGTTGGGAGGTGATTATGCCGTGCTCACATTTAAGAATTATTGGCATGCTCATATGGAAGGAGGCAATCTTGCAGACATCCTAGCTCCAAGTCGAGGTATTCTTCTTCTTCTTCTTCTTCTTATTATTATTATTATTATTATTATTATTATTATTAATAAAGTATGGGTTGTTGATGTCACAATCCCGGGTGACAGCAGGATTTAAGAGAAGCAATTGGAAAAGCTGACACGATATGTGGATTTAAAGATCAAATTGCAAAGACTCTGGCACAAGCCAGTCAGGGGGGTCCCAGTGGTGATCAGCACACTGGGTGCAGTGCCTAAAGACCTTGACCTGCACTTAAAAACAATTGGCACTGACAAAATTACCATCTGCCAGCTGCAGACGTCCACCTTACTGGGATCTGCATGCATCATTCACCGATACACCACAGACCTAGACACTTGGGAAGTGTCTGATGTTTGATCCAATACAACAGTCAGCAGAGTGATCTTGTCTGTTGTGGACTCATCTTGTTGTGTTCAAATAATAATAATAAAACGGCAAATAATTAGTTATGTTTTCATTATTCCAAAGTTAAGCATGACTCCTGCATAGTACTTGACAGATCCCAATCACGATTAAATTGACACCCTCCTTCATTTAAAATGCGGACTTTGTGACTTCACTGCTCTGGTTAATTAACTAAGAGTGCATCTACATTGTAAAATTAATGCAGTTTAGTACCTCTTTAACTACCAAGACTCGATGCTATGGAATCCTGGGATTTGTAGCTTAGAGAAGCCGGAAGAACATGTAAAACGATTCATTGCTCAACCTGTTGCTCTAGTTCTAAAAAAAACCCCAACTAAAGTAGACTACCCTTTCTTTTGAATGATCTATTTTCTCTACACTCTACTTGGTTGCATTTAAATATAATATACATAAATATACACCAGTTATCAGCAAACGCTCTGCATTATGGCAAAGGTGGGACGTGATGCTATGTCCGCGGCTGTTTGCACAGACAGAGAAGATTGCAGTACCTCCTATCAGCTCCTCTTGCCCTTTTCCCTACATTACTTAAGGCAAACATGATGGCCAAACAGGTCTGTTCTTCTCTGAAAATATCATATGATATCCCTCCCACTGCTTTTGCAGAAAGTCCTATGGCAACTTAGAAGGATTGCAGTTCCCAGAATCCACCAAACAATGGCCACCCATTTGCTGACTCTGAGAGTTATAGTGCAAAGTAGAATCATAGAATCAAAGAGTTGGAAGAGACCTCATGGGCCATCCAGTCCAACCCCCTGCCAAGAAGCAATATTATCTTTCTCCCCCCGCATTGCAATATTATCAGCCTTCCATATCTATCAAAACAGCAGAACAAAAGGAAACAGACAGGGAGGAAAAAAGTATAAGAAAAGGAAGAAAGCAAACCAGTCCTGGCAGATGGGTCTTGTATTCGGACACATCTTTGGTTGGCCTTCAAAAGACTGAAGGCATTTTTCGAACGGCCTTCCTATACATTTCAGGTTGCAATGATCTGATTGAACTTGTAGATATCCTTAAATCAAGAAATAGTTTTCTAAGATCGACAAAGATATTCACAGGAACACCTCAGCAAGCAAGAGTCCAAAAGTGGCAGGCTAAAACAGGGAACGTCAATCTATGGCTAAGACTCGTTCCTGGGCACACAGGCGACGTGGAAGGCACTGAACAGACTGCCCTCTGGCACCATGAGATGCAGAGCCAACCTCAAGAAATGAGGCCACAAAGTGGAGTCCACAACACACGAGTGTGGAGAAGAGCAAACCACAGACCACCTATTATAATGTGGCCTGAACCCTGTCATGCACAAGGGAGGACCTCCTTATAGCAACACCAGAAGCACTCCAACTGATCAAAGGACATTTAGCATCATGCCAAGTTTTTTAAACTTCTGTGTTTTTAAAAAAATACATTATAATTGTACCCTTGGTTTGCTCCTGATACAATAAATAATAAAATAACTTGCAGATTATACATAAATACACACACACACACATATAGCCCCCGATGGTGCAGCAGGTTAAACCGCTGAGCTGTTGAACTTGCTGACCGAAAGGTCAGTGGTTTGAATCCAGGGAACGTGGTGATTTCGTGCTCTTAGCCCCAGCTTCTGCCAACCTAGCAGTTCAAAAGCATGCAAATGTGAGTACATCAATAGGTACTGCTTCTGTGGGAAGGTAACAGCGCTCCATGCAGTCATGCCAGCCAGATGATTTTGGAAGTGTCTACGGACAACACCAGCTCTTTGGCTGGACTTAATGATGAGAGATCTAGAGAGGCAATTGCCAAGGCTCAGGAGGGTTTCGGGCACAAAAAGCGCTCAAATCACCCCTGACAGATGGCCATCCAGCCTCTGTTTAAAAGCTTCCAAAGAAGGAGCCTCCACCACACTCCGGGGCTGTGAGTTCTCACAGTCAGGAAGTTCTTCCTCATGTTCAGATGGAATCTCCTTTCTTGTAGTTTGAAGCCATTGTTCCGCATTCTAGTCTCCAGGGAAGCAGAAAACAAGCTTGCTCCCACATCCCTGTGGCTTCCTCTCACATATTTATACATGGCTATCATATCTCCTCTCAGCCTTCTCTTCTTCAGGCTAAACATGCCCAGCTCCTTAAGCCGCTCCTCATAGGGCTTGTTCTCCAGACCCTTGATCATTTTAGTCGCCCTCCTCTGTACACATTCCAGCTTGTCAGTATCTCCAAAAGTACTAGGAACCTTTACAGATTCAATACAAACCCAGTACAGTAGCAGCCTCAAGGAACCTCTTTTGTTTAGCATTTAGAAGGCTTCCGATAGGCTACTGTTTACATAGCAAGAACTGACTTATTTATCCAACACACACAGTAATTGTTGCATTTAATTTTATCCAAACGGCTAAGTTGGCAACTAGTTATGCTCAGCTACATTGCTGGAGGGTTTGTCTATCTCTTCAAGAAGCCTATTAATGTGAAAGAATAATAATAATAATAATAATAATAATAATAATAATAATAATAATCTGATGACCCCCCAAATTGCAGACTGTGCAAGGAAGCTGATTGTACCATTGATCATATCTTCAGCTGCTGCAAGAAAATAACA